AAAGTAGTTAGAAACCTTGAGAGCAATCTGACACTGCTACAACATCCAAACACTGATAACAAAAGTATCAGTCTGAGCCCATCAGGAATTGAAGAGCTGCTCCCCGCCAGAGGCAGTCTGAGAAGCCGCCCTCCACCTCTGCCAGGCCCGCCCTTTGCCATACCCCTGCCCTTGATCTCACCTGCCCCTCTGCCTCACGCAGCTCTAGTCACCTGGGCGGCCTTCCTGGTCTGCAAGCATCCCCTGAACACACTCCACCTCAGGCCCCTTGCACGGCTGCTCCCATCCTCTGCCTAGAATGCTCTTCCAAACCTTCACACAGCGCACTTCTCATTCCCCTTCGACCTTTGCTCCAACATCACTTTCTCAAGGAGGCTTATCCTGACCACCCTCCTTAACATTGCAGACCACCCTCCCTACTCCTCAGGCTCGACTGGGTTGTTTGGTTTTTGTCTGCTGTTTCCCAGAGCACTCATCCTATAACATGCTGGATCATGTCTTAGGTTTATTGTCTCTCTTCTCCTGAGTAGGGCAGACGGCTCTGTGCTTTGTGTCTCAACACACACGTGTTGAGTGAACGAGGGAACGCGAGGGAACGCGGGAGCCAGAGTGCAGCCGGGGCGGGCTTCACGGACAGAGCCTGGAAGCGGCCCTCCAGGTGGACCTCAGCACACCTGAGCTGACGGAGGCCAGCCAAGGACCATCAGGGGCGCTGTCGGCCGTGTCTAAGGCTCTGGACTGGATCCTGGGAGCTCCCTGGAATCCAGAGGAGCTCTCCAAGACCCGGGCTCAGTGTATCATCCGTCAGGGTGGAAGGTGGACACAAATGGGGGAGGCTAAGCGGACACTGAACTGAGGTCACGGAACTAGAGATGAAGGCACAGAATTCGAGAGGTTTCCAAGGTCAGATCTACAGGTGTATGTGAGAGGTGAGGGCGGGGGAGGAGGCCCAGGGAAGATCAGACGGCTAACGGCACATGACAGGAAGGCCCCCTCAAACATCATCATGATGTCCCTGGGTCAGAACAGCAGCGACGGCGTGAGGAGCCCCCCCGCAGTGCCCGCTCTCCCAGGAAGGGGCGTTCTCCACAGTCTGCCTCCTCTCCCCCGCCCCGCCGAGTATGCACACCCCCCCCGCCTCCCTGCAGGGTCTGGGGTCCTAAGGGTGCGTCTCCGATACGTCTCCCCGGCATCTCGGCCCGCAGCTCATGAGACCACTTCCTGAACGGCCAGTGCCCATCAGACTGCCCCACTGCCGCATTCTGAGGCAGCATGTTCGAAGGAAATCTGCTGATGTGCGTACGTCTGGCACTTACCTTACACGGAACACTTGGTTATAAGTGCTAAGGAAGAACAGAAAGCCATCACGGGCCAGGGCCCTTCCCCCGCCCTGGCCCCCCCTCCGCCAACTGCCTCCAGGACAGGCAGGGTGTGAGATATGGAGAGGGATGCATGCGCTAAACAGTCAAAGGATGAAACGCTGACACCATGTAAGGCTCTGCCCAAAACTCCTCTGGGACCTGAGAAACTGTCAAGAAAGACCCACTCATTTTGACCCTTCATTCCTACCAGAGCCGAAGGAGGAGACAGCCACGAGAGCTATGCACCTGGAGGCACCTGCCCAATGTGTGTGTGCAGGGGAGGCACCCAGGTGGAAAAGAACCAGAGGGGCTGAGACCAGCCTGGGGGCACAGGGCATGGTCCTTCCTGGCCACAGCAGGAGGGAGGGGGCAGGCAGCGCAGCTGGCGCAGGCCATGGGCCTGAGGTTAATATGCAGAGGGCCCAGGAAAGCCAACCTGCACGCCAGTGAACCCAAGACTCAAAACAGACCTTCCTAGTTACTGAATGGACCCCGGAGTCCTGGGGAACACTGGGAACCTGCCGAGAACAGCCCCCAAAGATCTGGTAGAAGAAAGGGTGTGTAGCCCGAGGGCCTCTGGATGATCGTTCAGAACACACTTGTGGCCGTTTGCATTCTCTGAAGTGCAAAGCTGGTCCTCCTTACAAAATCCCGTATAAAACGGGGAGGAGAACATAGGAGCATGAAGTCAAATATCCCAGAGCGAACTACAGTGATCACACACACACCCAAGTCAAACAAGCCGTAATATTAACGAGGCACAAATCAAAGGGAACGGTTTCCAGGGCTGAATAAAGGCCGGCTACCTTATCGGGGAAGTCACACAAAGGCTCCTCATTGGTGCCCCTTCTCGTAAGAGCAGAAGAGAACAGAAGGCTTTCTTCTCTATAGCGGGGCCCCACTTGGGGGTTGGACTAGCCTGAGAACATTTTCCGGTAGGCAACAGGACAAAAATCGGTTTTCAGCTTAACCTGCAACAGTTGTAAACTCTGACCAGGATACATGATTAATTAGTGAAAAGAGAAGCCCCACTTTTAGCTCCCCATTGAATTAGGTTATCTTTAAACACTGACCCAGAACTGACAGTACAGCTAACCCTCTGTTTAGCACGGTCATGGGGATTTCTGGAAGGACAGAAGTTAATTGAGAAGCAAGAACAATCCCATGTTGTCCTCATCAAGGCATGGATCACTGCATCAAGGACGATGGCTTCCAGCGACTGTCCACCGAGGCCCCCGGCTTTGCCTGGCGTTGTGAGATTTAAACCGCACCTTTCTGGCTCAACAAGCCAAGTGGTGTCTGGCCCCCACCACCCCTGGGTCTGGCCGACTGCAGAGCACCCTCCAATTTTTCAGAAGGTGGGGACACAGGGAAAGCGTGGGCAGTCACCCCATGCCTTACCCAGATGGCAGCAGAACTTCTAGCAAGGGGCACAGGATGGTTAGAGGGGAGCGCCCAGGGAGAGAGCAAGACAGGGGCCCTGGGTCCGCGGGAGGCTGGACCGAGAGGCCCAGGAGGAGACAGGGAGAGAGAGAGTTGGCTGTACTGGACCCAACAAGCACACCCCCAGCAAGCTGCCCCGCATTTCTAGGAAGGAGAAAAGCAAACCGCCGTCCCACCTCGGGCTGCGCGGTCACAAGTGAGGCAGGGCTGGGACCAGTCGCCATTTGGGCGGGAGGCCAGCCCCAGGTGCGGCAGGAAGGGGTGGCGCTGGCTCAGCGGCTGCAGCTCCTCGCTCTGACCCAGCGGGGCCCCTGCGCGGTGCTGGGGACACAGCGAGGCCTCGGGCGCTGTCGGGCAGGGACACACACACACATACACACAGAGAGAGACACGCCATTAGAGGGACCGGGAGCGGCAGAGTGCGGGCCGGGGCCGAAGCCCGACGCACGCAGAGGGGCCAACAGCCTGCTGACCACGTTCTGACCCTGCACATGCAGCTCAAGCTCAAGGGCTGAGAGAACCGGAAGCTGTGCAAGCTGGGACCATGGCAGCAGCCATCAGCCCAGCAGAAAGCCGCCAGGACCTGGGACTGGGGCCCCATCCAGACCCCCAGGCTCGGGCACCCGGACGGTCCCACGAGCTCTCGATGAATGGGACGCTGTTTCAGCTCTGGCTTTGTATCCTCTGGCTTCTTGACAAAAATGACCGCCGGAGGTGTGTGGGGAGCAGAGCAGGGGCCCATAGCTGGGCAGCACAGACCCAGCCACTTCCACAGAAGCGGCCTGACACCAACTCCACCCACAGCGGCCCTTCTTGGGGGATGGAGGAACAACTGCACTCTTCCCAGGGCAGTCTTCATTTTGGAGGGGAGGGGGCAACCTGGCCCAGGCAGAGCTGCAGGTCACAGTCCATTCCGGGCGTTTCCATAAAGGTCACAACCTCCGCCTCACCAGAGCAGTTCAAACGAAGAGGGGAACAACAGTAACTAGAAACGGGCCGAGAAAAATGCTAACCTCTTCAAGCCTTTGATAAGAATTTGGAATTCCTAGAGGCAGGAAGTCTGACTCGGGTACGCAAATCTCCCGGTTGACACATTTCTCAAAATGCTGCTGGTGGCGGTACGGTGTCTAACTGAAGCCTGCACGCAGGAAACGTTAGCAGGCGGCCTGGTAACAGAGCCACTGACTAAACGAGGACCAAGGGGAGTTTGTCGGGTGACAAACAACTTCCTTAAAAAAGAAAAAAATGTGCTGTTATGCTGACACGGTGTTACAGATTCCAAAAAGAAAGGGGGTGTGGGGGGCCTGCACTTCTGTTTCTTTCAGCCAGAAGATACAATGTGTGCGTCCCCCACCCCCCCCCAGGCGACCAGGGCCACCAGTCTCGACACCACACTGGGACAGCAGAGGGGCGCCCGTTCCCCGGACCACTTTTAGTGAATGCCCAGGACGCCCACACGGCTCTCCAAGACCAGCTTCCGTCAGGCCCTGAACTCCACTTCTCTTCCCTGAAATCTCGTCCGAATGAGGGGCAAGGACACCGCAGGAATCCCGCATGCAAAAAATGAGAAAACCAAGCGGCCCCACCCAGCGCAGACCCAGCCATGCAAGCAGCTCCCCAAGAGCTCTCGTCCTCACGCTGAAAGAAGAGGCCTCACTCACACTAGCACCTGCAGAGGTTTCGGCCTTTTCCTCTTTCACTGAGAGACAGAGACCTCCCATCTCCCTCCCGTGTGATGCTGAAAGGACAGGGACACCCTGAGCCGGTGGGGAGACCCGAAGCCCAGTCATCGGAACAACATTTCACAGGAAATTAAAGACATGAGGTTATCAAGAAGGAGCGTTCATTTCCTCCTACCTACCAAACGCAGTCAACTCCCCACTGTTTTTCGCAGCAGGCCAATCACTTGGCTCCAGCCCTGCCCAGGGGTACTGAATCGGACCCTGGAGCAGCAGAAGGTCGAGACCCCTGAGCCAGAGCAGCCAAGGGACCCAATGCCCCCCCCCCCCAACCATTAACCGTAAATGGGTGCAGACCACTGACACTGTTATCCGGGCTGCCCAAAGCGGAGAATGGAGGGCAGATGCGAGCTCTCGCTTAGCCCAAGGGCACGTGCCACCCTACCCGCCACCCAGCGCTGCCGTGTCTGTACCCAGCACCCTCCGGCAAGGGGTGGGGAGCGCTTCCACTACTCACAGCCGTGGTAGGAAGCTGGCGACCCCCCGGCCTTGCCGTACTCCTGCTCCGAGTAGCTGGTGGAGAGGTTGGGCTGGCTGGAGCCGCGGCCAAAGGTGATCTGGTTGCTGCCCATGCCCGTGGCGACCTGGGCCATGCGCTCTTTGGTTTTGAGAGCCTGGGCCCTCTCAGCCTTCAGCCGCTCCTCGTCCTTGAGAAGGGCCACCAGCTGCTTGGACTTCTCACGCACGTTGATGCCCTGGTCCTTGCCGTCTCGGTCGATGTACTGGAAGTCCTTCAGCGTCTGGATGGCAAAGATGTTCTCCCGGCACTGCTGGGCCACGCGCTCGGAGCCCGTCTTGATGAGGTAGTCCAGCAGCGTGAGCGCCTTGTACACGTGCCGCCAGTTCTTGCCGTGGTCGTTGAGGCGTTTCCAAACCATGCTCATGATCTCCGAGAAGGCCACCACGTTGTAGGTCAGGTCGGCGATCTCGGTCATCAGGGAGCTGGACGGGCCCCATGGGTCATTGGAGGTGGCTTCCCGCACTTTTATTTCAGCTTCCGAGTAATTGTTCACAATATTTTTCATTTGCCGTCTGATAGATGAAGTCGCCATCTTTACGGTCTTTGTGGCAACTGTAAAGCCCTTCAAAGAGAGAGATGTTCCTGTGCTGGGCAAGTTCGTGCCCTGCGAAGGTTCAGTCTCCGTAACAGGCGTGGAGCAAGATCCCTGCCAGTCATTTCCTCCGCTGGAGCCTCAGGTCCGAGAAGCCAGAAGCCATGACCTAGAGACAGAAAGAAACACACTCCCTGTACCATGAGCTCCTCCGAGACAGCAGGAGGCTCCGGCTCAGCCCCTTCTGTAAAAAGGCAGGTACCGAGGTCTGGCGGGGGTTCGGGGGGGCAGGGATGAGTGGACGCGCTCCAGCCTCCCTAGGAGGAAAGAGAGCCATCGTCTTTTCCAAAATTACAACAAGATCAGTATCACAAGGTAATAGTGAATAAAATCTAAACTCGAGGTTAAGCCTTTGGCAAACAAGAAGTAAACACTGAAACTGTGGCTCTAATTTTCAAAACACTTCTACTGGCACGGCTCTTCTGTGGGTTGTATTTTCACGCATGGCAAAAGCCAGCGACAGAAGAATCGTAACACTGGGGGCAGGCAGTCCTGACAAATTTTAAATTCTGTGGGAGCAAGAAAGCCTCTCATTTCAGGTATATCTTACCCCAAAAAAATGCCTATCTATGCTCCCCCCCCTTAAAGTAATCTCTGCACCCAACGTGGGGCTCGAACTCATGACCCTGAGATCAAGAGTCCCATATTCTTCAGACTGAGCCAGCCGGGCACCCCTAAAATGCCTAACTATGCCTTTAAAAATCATTTGACATCTGGCTTTGGTCCACTGTGCTTCTATACTTGCCCAGGACGTTTTCTGTGAGCACTTTTCTCCTGATTTTTTATAGGTTTCCAACTACTCTTTTTTTTTTTTTTTAAAGATTTTATTTATTTGCAAGAGAGAGAATGAAAGAGAGAGCATGAGAGGGAGAGGGGGTCAGAGGGAGAAGCAGACCCCCCGCTGAGCAGGGAGCCCAATGCGGGACTCGATCCCGGGACTCCAGGATCATGACCTGAGCCGAAGGCAGTTGCTCAACCAACTGAGCCATCCAGGCACCCAGTTTCCAACTACTCTTGCAGAGCACAGCCCAGGCCCTCCACTGGGCTTTCAAACTTGCCAGCACCTGGCCTGAGCTAATACAACTTAGAAATAATCTGGTCTAGCCCACTCCCCTCATTTCACAGAGGGGAAAAACTGAGGTCCAGGGTCACCCATTAACGGGTCCACCTAGCCCTCCACCACAAACCCACATCCCCTCTCTCCAGAGAAGAAACATTTACTGAGCTAGAGTGAGGTCCACATCTCTGACAATCGGCTTCGGTCCACAGGTTTGGGTCTTGTTCACCAATGACCACCCAGCACCCAACACCATGCCTGGCGTGGATATAAATGCTGTTGACTAAATTTACGAAACAGATTAAAAACAGCGTCCCTGGCCCCAGGAAGGCCACAGGCTGGGAGGGGACGGAGGGGAGCACAGAGGATCTGAAGACGCAAAGCCCGAACAACCAACTCCGCTGGCTGTTGGAGGCTGCAAAGGCAGGCATGGGAAGGAGTTTCTGCCAGAAATCACTCCCAGTGTGTCTTCCAAACTGAGAAGACCTGAGGGGTGGGAGGAAGTGGTAATGTAGATTATTCCTCATCTACAAAATGAGGAAATGGAGGTCCAGAAGACTCAGAGATTGCCCAAGACAGAGTCTGGACACAAAGCAAGCGCCCTCCCCTTGCCCATCCCCCACTCCCACCTGCTGGGCTCATTCTGGGCTCTGCCGGCTGTTGGAGGAGCCAAGGCAGCCTTGGGCCAGGCTCTACCTCACTTAATGCTCATGAAAACCCTCCAGGGAAGGTAGAGATGAGGAGCCCGAGGACTTCAAGTCATGAGGTCAAGCTGACTAAGGTCACCTCCTCCAAAGCAGCCCTGTGGGGGGTGTTGGGGGGGTGGCACCTCCTCCCTCCTCCTGCAGTGGCCCTCACGTTCCACCAAGCTGCTGGGCTGCTTCTGCCGGAGAAACAATGGATGACCCCCTCCTTCCTCATCTAAAGCCTCGGGCAGGCAACAGGAACATCAAAAAATAAGTAAACCTAAGTTGTTGGGGCTGGGGGTGGGGGGGAAGAGCCACAGGAAACGCAATGATCACTTATCACATATGACCATACAAATAAGAGCCCATAAAATTTCATCCTGGTGACAATCGATACATCTGCTACGGCTAACAAGGCCTTCACTCCAGCCTCAAATATGCCAAGAATTCTGTCTCCATCTGAAGCCACAGAACGGGGCTTCGGCAGAAGGCAGGCATATTCTGCCTCTCCACGGATCTGGCCAGCTCTCATAAATCCTCTAAAGCCTGTCAAAGGACCAGGGATAAAAATTTTCACGGTGACCTGCACATTTGATTTAGTTCGGTTTTTCATTCACAGCAACATTCACTGCTGGCAGAGATGGGGTGGGCCTCAAAAAGCAAAAAAGAACACTTTGACTTTTAATGAGCATCGCCCAGCTTAAAGTGCAAGTGCTCATCAAATTCAGGTGTACTACTTAATGCCTAGGGGCCCTCCGATGTGCTAGGGATCCCCGGGCACTTCCATTGGTCACTCCATCTGGTGCACGGCAGATACGACCGTCCCACCCTCCGAGAAGCAGGAGGAGCTGGGGTCCACCGCTGAAGAGGTCCTCAGCCACCCTCCTCCAGGTCAGGAAGCAGCTCTGACTAAGCATGACAGCAAATGGTCCTCCTGGTACAAAGGCCTCAAAGGGTAAGAAATATAATGAAAACAAAAACAAAAACAAAAAACCAGAACAATTTCCTGAGGGAGAAACAATGCTCCAGGCTCTGTTGCCCTTCTTCTCGTCCAGCCACCTGGGAACCCAGTGTGCTCCTCAGGAGAGGTCAGGGAGAGGCCATGAGGCCCAGCCAGGGCATCCACCAAGCCTCCTAGGCCTTTGGTGGCAAAGAAAAGGCACCAATTCATCTGATCAAGCGCCAGAGTGCCCTCTGCCCTGCCAGACAGAGGCTGGGGAAAACTCCAAACAACGGAGAAACCGGGGCTGGAGACCTAGGCAGGAGATTTCTCTAACAGGCTCAACTTGCAAAGACATCTGTCAGTAGACTCTCTGAAATATTTAGGCCTTAAGAAGAAGGAAAAAGGTAACCAAACGCTCCTTACAGTCAGAAAAATATATAAAGCCTATATAATTTGAATGGCTCCCTGCCATTTTCTTAAAGCTACAGATGAGAGTGGCTTTCAGAACGGGCACACAGGGAGAATCGGGAGATCATGGGCGAGGAAATCCCCAACAGGAGAAAGGACACCAAAGGCGCCTCCACGGAACCACGTGCAAGGCCAACCGGGTGACGCACCTCACCGGAGACCGTGGAGACGGACACCTCCGATTCCGTCCGTGAGAGAAGCTGGCGACACGCGAGTGGGCGGCAGGACCACAGGACCACAGCCCCGGCTGCGTGCGCACGAGGCTCCCCCAGGCGGCTCCAACTGAAGACAGGGATGTGGGTGGCTCCGTCGCACTTGTCCCTGTGGACCTCAGACCTTGCTCTTCCCGTTTTAAAACTTCTCCCCCTCAGCGTCAGGACTGGGCTGTCAACACCTAAACATCTCCACCCCCAGCAAACACCTGTCAGGCACTCCCTCCCAAAAGCCAGGCCTGAACACACTCCATCCTCAAGTATCCACCCTGTGCTATTTCCAGAACCTAAGTTTTGTTTTGGCCTTGCTTTTCTGAATGGTGTGCATACTCCGCCTTCCGGACTTTCCCTCTCAATCTGCCAGTTTTCTTCCCTTTCCAGCTTGGGGAGCCTGAACTAAGCAGCACAGGATCCTGTGTTACGTCCCGCGCTCTTCACTCAAGCCGGGGAAGTTGTGGTCAGCTCCCAAACACCCAGTCTTTTATTAAGGAGCTTCCACTCAGATATGGGGACGGTGGGAGGAAGGGGAGTGGCGGGGGACGCCAAAACGAGAGGGAAAAATAAACCTCGTTTAAGGTTTAAGACCGAGATAGCAAAAAAGAAAGGGGGGGGCTCATTTTCATAAATTACATACCAACAACTTGGGACAAATGCCATCAGAACAGTACTAACTAGAAATGCCTTCAGAAATGGGAGTTCTAGGGACGCCTGGGTGGTTCAGTCGGCTAAGCGTCCAACTCTGGATTTTAGCTCAGGTCATGATTTCAGGGTCGTGGGATTGAGCCCCACACCAGGCTCTGCACTGGGTGTGGAGCCTGCTTAAGATTCTCTCTCTCTCCACCACCACCCCGACCTGTGCTCGCTCTAGTAAGAAATTTAAAAAATTAAAAAATTAAAAATTGAATTCTATCATCAGGAATTACTTAGAACCCTTTCATTATAAGCGATTAAGTTTGTACGACTCTGTTACAACTTTAAATATTTTCTGAAGAGAGATAAGTTGGGATTCTCTTCAAAGCAAACACATTCTTCTGCACAGAAGCCATAGGACATCCATGATCCCCCTGGAACGGGATGCCCAGGGGCCCCCCACCTCACCTTCCCACTCCAGCCCCCGCCCTGAAGAGCGTGTTCGGGAACTGTATTAATCATTCATTCTATTAAGAATCAAGGCTTCTGATGCGCGTGATAACCACTAGTAACCTCACTGAGTTGATAAAGCCAAGAAACGGCAAAGAAACTGAACATTTCGGCTGGCCTGGGGAAGTCTCACCATGGGCAATGCACATTTCTATCAGGCCTTCCAAAAGCCCTTGGAAGCTCTGGAGACTCCGCATCAAAAGCCACAGTCTCTTCGGTATAGAAGGAAACACTCATTTTTCTACAGTCAGGCCCCAGTACTAGAAAAGGTTCTTTAAGCCAAAGAAATTTTGTTTCTGTCCTGGAAACAGAATCTGCTGTCTCTGCCTTTGCGACATCCATATCCCCTTGTCTCAGAAAGATCCTTGGTCTTCCATCGGGGGGGAAGGTGGCCAGGTGCAGGCCCAGCCCAGGCTCCACCAGAGTACCGCAGGCCCCCAGCCACGGTGGCTAGATCAGGGGCGGGCGGACAGTCCAGCCTGGGCTGCCAAAAGCCACCACAGGGCCAGGGTTTCCCTAAGTCTAAAGGCAACGCCAGAGAAAGCAAAGAGCAAAGGGAAGGCGAAGGAGTGAGACAACATGGCTGGAACCTCTGGGTCCGCT